ATATATATATATGTATATGTATATAACTGTTATTTATATGTAACCTGGAAATATTACAGATTTATGAAATCTAAAACATGCGGGCGAAACGAGAAATTCTTGTCTTATTCTGGCTTCTTTCATCTTATTATTATCTGATAAAAAGAAGGAGACCGTATAAAAGATGGATTAATAGAAGATGGCATACAAGACCAATTAATAAATTAAGGCACCAATTTGGTCATTACAACACTCTTTTCCAGGAATTAAAAAAGGATGAGAGCATGTTCTTTAAATATGTAAGAATGTCTAATGCAAGTTTTGAAAAACTGCTACAACAATTGCAACCTCACCTCATAAAACGAAGTCATAGAGCATTGCCTCCAGATCAGAGATTACTAATCGGGTTAAGGTAATTTTGTGTAATACTTATTATATATTTTGCAATTTTAGAGCAGTCAAAATTAAACATAAAAGTTGTACATACGTTTATTTTATCATTTATGACATAATAATTTTTGACCTTCTGTTACAAAATCCTTTCGATCTGATTTGATCACTGAAAATTGAATATCGTGCCCTTATTTTTAGAAGAAGAAATAACTTATGTATTTTATGCATATCTCATAATTTTTCTATTGAAACAATTATTCTCTTTTTACTGTTATAGGTTTCTTGGAACTGGAGACCAAACAACATCTATTGCTTTAGATTTTCGAGTAGGAGAATCTACAGTCAGAATGTTATATAAAGAAATATGCTCTATTATAATGAGAATTTTGCCGTCAATGTATCTCTCTCCACCAACAGAACAGCAATGGATCCATATTGCCAATAATTATTGGAAAAGAGGGCATATGCCAAATTGTTTTGGAGCAATCGATGGCAAGCACATCATATTGAAATGTTCGCCTAATTCTGGAAGTTCTTATTACAATTACAAAAAACAACATAGTATAATATTAATGGCTGTGGCCGATTATAGATATAAGTTCACATTAGTTGATATAGGAGCTTACGGGGGAAATAGTGATGGAGGCATTTTTGCAGACTCTGAAATAGGAGAAAGATTGAGAAATAATAATCTTAACTTACCAAATGGTACGGCTGCATTGCCTGGCTGTGATATAGCAATACCTGGATTTTCACGATGCCTTCCAACTTTCAAATAGAATAATGAAGCCATATTCTGGCAAACAATTATCGGATAAACAAAAAATCTTTAATTACAGAATTTCAAGAGCTAGACAAACAATAGAAAGTGCTTTTGGAATATATAGTAATAAATGGAATATATTTCATAAAGCTTTATGTATGTTACCTGAAACAGCAGATATAGTAGTGGCAGCTTGTGTTTGTTTACACAATTTCATTATGACTGAAGAAGAAAACGATGGAGAAAAACTGTACAGTCTAGAATTCTTACACGATATTGATGGGAACATGTGCAGAAATACACACTGGTTTTCAAATGACACACATTCACAAACTTTAAATACTCATGTAGGTTTAATACAAAGAGATTTACTATGTGACTATTTCAGAACTTGTGCAGGTGAAGTGGGATGGCAATATGATTTTATAAGAAGAGGTTTATATAAAGAATAAACATAATCAAGTTTAAACAATAAACATGTTATATTTTGTGACCGTTTTTCGTTAGTTGTACGCGAGAATACGACCAAAACTTCGTCTCCGCTGTTGCGGCGACGGCTGAGCTTGCCGGCAGCTCTCAAAAAAAATATCTGACTCGATAGAGCGGCGGGGTTCGTGTGTCGACGCGCGACCTTCCTTCGCGCGACACGAGAGGAACAGGCGACAAAGTCGGAGGAATCACGAAAGAACACATATACGGTTTAACATTACGCTGTATTTAACAAAAAAAAACAACAAAGAAAGATTCTACAAGAGACGCGGTGCGGGCTCCGAGTCGCGTAGTCGCAAAGTCATTCGGCAGCTGGATCCGTAGTCGAGGATCCTTCTGCCTCGCGGAGTTCGGACGGCACGAGGCTTGCGAAATTCTATCGTTACACGCTAATTACTGAATTGGGCGCCAGCTGGATGCATCCCGGCCTTAATTGTCACGTCGCGAACTACGTATTTCTCGCCACTCTCGAAGACCCGCACTTCCTACGAATGATCGTGAGTCGTCATAATTTTCATGCAATCGCTCGCCGTACTGTGCGGTCGCGAACGCGATGAAGCGGCAGCAGGCAGCGCGGTAAGGACGGCTATTCTCTCGCGGGCCCCGAATCTGAGCCCGCGATCGCGAGGTTGGACGGGTCGTCAAGGATGGAGACGAACCCTTTCGGCTGCCGTCGGGAAGCGACGGCAACCATCCCGGTCTTTCCGCGCTCGGGCTGAACGACAGGTGGAAGACAGCTCACCAAATATCCCTCGCTGGGCCCGTTCCTCGTTCTCCGTCCACTAGCTTGCTCGTTCGCAGACTCGTTCGCTCGCTCGCAGGATCGTTCGCTCGCTCGCAGGATCGTTCGTTCGCTCGCTTGTAGGATCGTTCGCAGCACTCGCGTTGCTCGCTATCCGCACAGTGACGAATTTTTCCGCGAGCGCGAGGCTCCTTAGGCTCGCGGTCTCAGCCACCGATCGTCGCTAGGTCCTATTGGTCCTGCGGGAACGCACGGCTCTAGCGCGGGCGCCTTACAGGGCCCGCGCGACACCGCCGAATTCTCTGACTCCTTGTCGACGGGATCCTGTGCCTGACGGTATCTCTAACTGGCGTGGACGCTCAGATGGCTGCCGGAAGCTCTTGGTATCCCAGGGCGTCCTCCGGGATCTGGTCCTTAAGGTCCAGCGCCTTCCTAGCGCCCCGCGGCAAGTTAGTCGGGGCCCCCGTCACTTATGATAGCGAGGGGTGGATCCCGCCCCGTTTGGCTTGTCGTCCGCTTCAGGTCCGCCGTCGCCTCGCTCCGATAGATGCAATCCGTCATTTTCGTCGCAGCCCGAGCACACAAATAAAACAACAACAAAAAAATTACAACAACGTGATCTCGCACGCAAAAGCGTGCGAGACCAAATTCTCCGCCGCCGCCCTTCCCGCGGAAGAAGGGGGCGCGAGCACAGCTCTCCTCGTCTCCCGGCTGAAATCGGTGACGGCGAAATCGCCACGTCACATTCCCCCCTCCCTGGGAAGGATCGAGGAGGTCGCCGGGGCGGCTCGCCGCCCTCAACCTGTCGCTCAGCCGATCTTCGCGCCCTCGCACGCTGCTTGCGGGGTTCGCGGGGTTGGGTGGGCGCAAGGGAAACTACTGTAACAGTGTGATGTGACTCGTATACTTTTATTTTATCCCCCGCGCCTGCTCGTCGGTACTCGACGGCAACCTAGCGTACATTGGTACTAATCTAGGCGATAGCCTCGGCATCCTTAAAAAAAAAAAAAAAAAATAACGAAGAGCGAAACACAAAAAAAAACAAGGCGCTAACGAAAAAAAACAATTCGGCCGCGAGTCCTCGGCAACCGTTCATCGACACATCCGCGGGGGGGGGGG